GGAGACCATAGGGATTGTTTAAAATGTCATTTAACAAAAAATTTACAAGAATGCATCATGCTAGATACACTAAAATTTAACTTTTTAATACTCCATGAGTTCATCTCCATTTTGTAGAGGAGAAAAGTGAGGCCCAGTAAAATACTAAATTCTTACAAACTGGTCAGTAACAGGGTAGAACTGAAGTCAGGAACCAGGGCTGTTCATACTTCCTTAACCACAATAGTATGAGGCTTCTCAGCAGTAATAACAATGTAAGTGTGCTTTCTTCCTGTCAAGGTGTTCTGGTGCACAGTGGTTCCACTTGGTTTCTAACTCAGAGGTCAGCAGTTTCGATCCCCTGGACACTCTTGAGGAAGAAAGGAGAGGCAGTGTGTTTCTGAACGGTTCTGGAAACTGTCTGGGATAGTCTACTCTGTCCTGATGGGTTACTATGATGCAGAATGGGCTTGATAATACTGAGTGTGGACTGACATTTTCTTCATACTTGCCTTTTTCAGGGAAGCTAATCATGAAATGCCAACGTTCCTCTGAGAAACCCTAGGCTTCAAGCAGGGCAGGGAGTATCAAGCCCAACACACAGTACTGAAGCTTTAGGGGCAGGCGATTAACCCTGTGCAGAGAGCTGAAGAAGGGTTATAACACAGTCAGTCCCTGATGAGGCAGCGGCCCCTTTTGCCAACGGGACAGTTTAAATTGAATCATAACCGCAAATAACAAATTAAGAGTACAGCTGGATGAAGAAATTAAATGGATGTGCTTCTCTGTAAGTGCAGAAATGAATTAACTTGACTCTGTGCCCAAAAGAAAGTGAAGAGACTTAGTATTATCTAAAGATTACCTCCCAGAATCCCATAGAAGAAATTAACACACTGAACCAGGAACAGACTGAATTGTTTTTAAGAAATATACAAAGTACCCTGGTAAGCACACAGTGATATGTGGGTCTGGGAAGCCTTTTACCTCATCAATGACCTTCATTTTGGCAAAACTGCCAACTTTGCCGCCTTATAAGTAACTACTGTCTCTTCTAAATTTTACAACTTTGAATAACATTCCTTGCAAGGGAATAAAGGGACCATGCAGGTTGCTGGCAATATTTACATATTAAATATCTATTTTGGCGTTCTTCTCATCACATACCTTGGCTCCTCTATGGATCTCTCAATTAAAACCTCAGAACACGCTGTGCAAAGCGGTAGGAATAAGCTGGGTGCAGAGCCAACTGGCATGCAAAACAGCACAAGGAACTGGGTTTGGCACAGGTTTTTTTCCCAAGATAACAAGTCAATATTGCTTATTGTGATTTGGAGATCTTAAGATTAAAAAAAAATCTTTAAAATTCAAAATTTTATTTATAACTCTTGTACCAAGAAACCCTATTTAGGTACACAAGGTTTCTAGAATTCTGAAAGAAGGCCAGTAACTTCCCTATCTCCTTTAAATAACATCAAACTGTTACTACAGTGATCACAGTCTCAGCATGAGAGGTGGTTAAGAGGTCATTCAGTTTCTTTCTCTTGCCATTTCTGGAAGGTTCACACTAAAGTACCATAAGCAGAGATGTTTTTTAAATATGTAATTACATTTTACACAGTCCTCGGTAAGTTATTCCTATTAATTTAAAGGTTGATAATTTATCATCTACTTCAAAGTAGTATTAAGATTATGCTGTTAACCCTACTGGATAAAAAAGAAAATGGAGTACTGAGGAACTTACAAAACACGGTGTGGGAGTAGCCTGAGATGATGATGTCAGGGTTTTTGTTTGCTTTGTGTGTGTGTGTGTGTGTGGGGCGGTCATTCACAATAGGAGTGGGCTGACCAAAAGGAAGTAGATGGCAGTGACTTTTCCAGACCTCCACTGCTAACTGACCACTACTCACTCATTCTTATCCAAATCCATATACGTGTCTAATTAGAACTTAGAACTTTGGCCAGATAGGAATCTCCTGGCATCTCTTCAGCTTGAGTGACTGAGGAAGGGAGGTCAATACTCCATGACTAAGAGAGCTCTCATTTCCCAGAGTCGTTCTAGGCATCCTTGGAAACTCAGCCCAGGGAAACCTCAGGAGTTGTTGAAATTTACCACGAATGAATCCAAAGGTTGTAATCCAATCTTGCTTCAGGCCAGACTTAGAAATGCAACTGCCTTGTTCAAATAAATTTAATATCAGAATCTAGTTGGCTTCTGGATTCTGCATCTCTCATCTCTAAGCTTCCATCTGCTGTCATCTTCAGAGTCACTCTACTCCAATACTGTGTTCTTGTTACTACTAACACAATAAATAGTACACGTATCTGTCACTTTGTTGTTCTCAGTCTACCACTGATTAGATATTGATACACCACTGATTATAAACTCAGGGACGACTGGAAGAAACACACACACACACACTCTTGCTGTTGTTGTTAGGAGCTTTGAGTGAGACTCATCATGACCCTACAACTAACAGATCCAAATCCCATCCCATCCTGTGACATCCTTATCATCTCTGTCACACTTGAGCCCATTGCTGTAGTCACTGTCTTAGTACATTTCATTGAGGTATACTCTCCTTTGCTGACCCTCCATCCTTCCAAGCACAATGTCCCTGTCAGATTCAAAATGGTCAATACCTGTCCATCTTAGCAAAATATCACACAGGATATCAAATTTCTATGTGCTCCATTTAATCTTTGACAACGTTCACTTTTTCTAGATTATACTTTGCACATTTCAAGTTCTAAAATATTAATGGTTGCTTATAGCCATTTCTCAGTTTGAGTCTTGCTATATCAGCAAGCAAATGAAGGTCCTTCATTGGGTGAAAGCTATACTCCAGCTTCATCATTGCAGTAGATTCTACTTTGAGGATGCATTTCTCCCAGCTATGGCTTGAGTACCTTCCAATCCGGGGAGATAATTTTCCTGTGAAATATTGGACAATGTTCCCCTTCCATCTAGAATGTTTTCCTGGCTTCATAATTCAGAAATGGATGGCCAGTCTGTCTTAGTCTGGAAGCTCTGCTGAAACTTATTCAGTATGGTGACCTTACTGGTGTTTGAAATACCGGTGGCATAGATTCCAGCATCATAACAACAGACAAGGCATCACAGCACAGCAAAATGACAAGTGGTGGTTCCAGAAATGCAAAGCCAGTTAATAAGATACTATTACTTTGCTGAATGTCTTCACAATACACATAAGTCTTAGAGATTGGCTCATGTTGTAACTCAAGAGGTATCTAATGATCCTTTTTAGGTAACTTCTGAGTTACCAACTTGAACTTTAGAAATACTTGTTGTTTCCTTTGTATAGCTGGTAAAAATGTTAAATTCTAATCAGGAAAGTTAAAATCATTTTGACTCTGGAAAAAGAAATTACTTGCTTCATAAAACAATTTCCTATAAGACTTCTTTAACATAGCAAACTCATTAACAGTTTCTAAACACATCATTTATGTAATCTCAGGAACACCATGTTATAGAGAGACAGTCAAAAGACAAATGCTCTCTTGAACAGTTGCTACACTAGGACTGAATCTCCAACTAAAACAAACAAATTTTCAATTGTTCCTAACAAACAAAAAAAAAAATGAAGAACTAATATATCACCCTTAAAGTGGGAATTTAAACATGATTAATAAAAAAATCTAATCCTATGCTTTATGTCTTAAAAATTTGTTTCACAATTTAGAGAGTCTGTCAAGCACAAATTTCTAACTTGCCATAAGTTCTTCATTAATATTACATCAGAATCACCTGTAGGTAATTTCTGAAAATCATGCAGACACCTATGTCTCATTGCAGGAGAGTGAACTACAAAGGCTTAGGAACCATGACTTGTAAGGTTCTTTTCCAATGCTGAGATCACATTACTTAAAACATATTGTGCACATTCAAGGTCTAACCATCTAACAGTTACATCAAGTAAAAGCATGCTTTCCACAAGACAGGTGAAGGTCCTGTTTCAAAACACTAAGCACTCATTATTGACCTAGAAAACATCATAAAAAACAACTGAAATGAAAACACGACAACTTTAACTTACATAAATACTTCCCTAGGGTTATTTTAACATAAAACTCTACACTTCTTCTTATTAATGAGGTAGGAATTTGGAGACCTGACTCTAATGTAAAGTGCCCACTAGTGTATAGGTAGACATGGGTAGGAAAGGGCATGACTATGTGTTATTATATTGAATTGCTTACCCAAAACAAATTGGTCTGTCTTGGAGAGGGTAAAACTAAGTTTCTCCTTGGAGGCTAGGATTTTGAAGCTCCACCTCAGTTTGGGCCTGTGGCCAGGAGAGATCAGTCCTTGGAGAAGGACATCATGCTCGGAAGGGTGGATGGGGAGTGCATGAGAGGGAGACCACGGATGAGATGGATTGATATAGTATCTGGGACGATGAGGATTGGTGTGTCAGAGTTAGAGAGACTGGCTCAGGACAGGGAAGGGTTCAGCGTTGCTGTACATAGTGTCACTGTACACTACAGGCAACTCAACAGCACATAAACACAGTAACATACTATGACATGTTTGGAAGCAGGAGTGGCATCCACTTCCTAAATAACATGCCTCTGGAAACTCTATGAACTCTGATAAATGTCAATAGTTGTAGAGGGGCTTCGGGCCATTTGTTCATAGGGTTGCTAGGATTCGTGCTCAATTTGAAGGCAATCAACAACAACAAACTCAAAGCAATCATAAATGGCATTTCTCAGTAAGTCAGGTAAGTATAACCATCTCCCCTTAGTGTAGCAGTTAATCTATACCCTTGGGGCTCATTAGACTTAATACCACTTAATGCACACACACAGTGAGAGAGATAGATACACATACACGTGCAGACACGCATGTATATATGGTGGTCTGGTCGACAAGGAGTTCTGCAGCGTTATTTCAGGTATTTAATACAACCACAGAAAGAAGTTGAAAAACGTTATTAAAATACTTCCTCTGATACACACTTTCAAGCACATACTTGGTGAATAGCAAGCTTTTTCCTTACTTGGTACTAGGCTGTTTTTGCAGGGCTTTGTCCAGAATAAGAGATGGAGCACTCCTCCTCCTTTCTGCTAGTGTTTTCATTTTCTGTTAAGAAGCAAAACAAAACAAAATGAAGACCATATTGCTTGTGATCAACTAAATACTAATTCTCAATCTGATTCAGTACGTTTCGTATCACCTTTTCTTGCCTATCAAAACTTCAAGCTCATTGTGGATGTAAACGACAACATTTAAAACAAGACTGTTAAGTGTCAAAAAGTATAGACAGCAAGCATTTTTTTAAGGTCTGAGAAGAAAAAGTTTAATTGTTGACCAGAATGAGATCAGCCCCATCAGAACCGCTATGACTGATCCCAACTATGAGATAGTGTTTTTTACGTGTTAGGGTCTATTCTACAGGCTTTTGTGTACTACCTCATTTCTACCAAAAATATTATCTGTGAAGTATTACTCTCCCCAAGCTGGACTTCACAGAAAAACAGCATTCAGAAAGACAGCATAAGGAAAGAAAATTCCTGTTAACGCAAAGGGACACTGACTAGAGTCATATTGTAATGATTAATAAAGCTTTAAAGTTTATTTCAAATTTAAATATTTACAGATTTGAAAAATCTTATTATAAATACAGATTTTTGCTTTAACTTAAAAAAGGGGTATAAAAAAAATTAAAAAGGCTATATGAAGAAAATGATCTTTTCCCGGGTAGTTTTATTAATCTAGAATCAACTGTCTAATTCCAATACTGTTTCCAAAGACCTAAAATTTGAGGTAAATAGGTTTTCTCAACTTGAATTATCAAGATGTATACTTTTCAAAGTTGATCTTATATATTTATATATAAGGATCATCTTATAGGTACCACCTGTAGCAGTTACAGGACTTTATAGAGGAACTGAATTATTAACATTAACAATGTTCATACTAAAACTAACATTAATAACAGACATGAATAAAATTCAGATTGTGTCATAAACACTATTTTCCCCTCTTGATACCCCTTTACCGTACTGTACCACCTGTGGACTTGGGCCACCATGCTTGGGGAAGGAGCCCTGGGGAGCATAACAGCTCAGCTTAGGTCACGGATCCAAACCCTCCAGCCTGTAACTGGCCTGATGGTAACCAGTTTGGATTTCTGTTTCTTTTTTAGCTGGCTTAGTATTCTCATGATTCATAATAAAATTGCTATTTTAGCTAGTCAAAGAAAATCTTTATCTTAACACAAGAAAAAAGGAAGAATCACGCAGTAAATAAGGGAAGGCAGAACTGCTTTAGCTCAAACTTCATTCTCCCCCAGGGATCTCTCTCAGGAAGAACACTGTCACCATTGCCCTGGCCTCAATGTTAACAGTGCCCTGGATCCTCCTGTCAGCTTTCTGTGGAATCTACACATCCAAATTGCCTTTAGCAAAACGGAAACGAAAATAGAACAACTATTTAAAACATTAATAAAAGGCAGGATATATAAGAAAAAAATACCAATTATTTCAGCTAGGAGGTCTTCTTAACTGTGAATCAGCTTCTAGGCAGGACAAATGACTAAAAATGTTTGTATGTTGTCTGTTTGGTGCCTTTCTTCTGAAGAGAACATACAGTTTGAATCAGATTCCAAGAAGAGTCTACAATCTTTTCCAGCACCAGTGATTTCAATAACCTAGTTTATAGAATACAGATCACAAACCCTTCCCACTGTTCTCACTCATTCCATCTCTCAAGGATATAATCCACAAGGGTCTAACCATCCTGAGGCTAGGGTGATGGCAGGCATCACAGAAAGAGGGAAATGTGGGGGCATCACTGAGAGAGAAATCTGGGAGACATTTGTGAGGGAAGCCGACTATTAAATTTAATAATAATAGTAGACCAAATGCTGTATCGGGAAATGAGGGAAGCTTGATACAAACTGAAGGCCACCTTGTGGCAATGGGCGTTCCCTAGGAGTTAACATTGTTCTTAGTTTGTGTCAAATGAACCCCTCCCTCTTGAGATTAGCATAAAGAGCAACTTGGCCTTATCTGTAAAAGACTTCACCATTATCCCTTGTTTTGTACTTCCTTGTGATTTTACTTTTATTATCTTATGATTCTAAATAAATACTCAGAGAAGCATGGCTTGATGTCTTCAGTCGAGAACTGCTGACCCCCTGTTTTATGCTCTCTGCTCTATCTCATTCCTGGCTGTTTGTCTCTTTATTAATAATTATAAAATTATTCTATTCTTTGGGACCCTCGGTCTGCAACACATTTGTGCTGTAAGGTCTAGCAAGCTTCTCCTGATGGGGAAAGTCTTGAAGATTTTATGAAGAGGAGTGGGAGTTTGGTCAGAAGTATTCCATTTTTTTTTTTTTTTTTTTTTAGGATTCTGTTTTACCATCAGGGCTGGGCTTGATTTCTGAAGTGTCCTTACACTTCTTTTTTCCAGACATGTTTTCAGCCTGAAATGGTGAAATCTGGGCTCTTTATCCTCTTTCATCTTTGACCTTGAAGGTCTGTCTGCCTCACCAACCACGTTGAGGCCACAGTTCTAAGTTGGCCTATTTCAGTTACTCCTAACCCTCGGACACTGCCGTCAGTGGAGCAAAGTCTTTAAACTACATCTTCAATAGTACATGATTGTTAGAATTGAGCTTTTTGGCTTCCTGGTTTATGAAAAACTTGAAAAGGGTCCAACATCAAAACAAAGCCATAAAAATAATTTAAAATATGAAGACTCTATGAAGGAAAAAAAGAGTCTAAGAAAAATGTAAAGGATCTGCAATTCTTCACATGGGAATAGTAATAATCTCCAAATTTTAGTAATAATGCTTACACTTTTTAGTTATAATACAGACAATATTAAGGGTCATTTAAAAGAAGAGGGAAATAAAGAAATGGGCTAAACTATAGAATGAGGAATTCAGGTTAATGTTAGACAGTGTTCTTTGAAAAATTTACAAAAGCTATGAGCTAAATTTTATAACAAATTCAGAGTTCAGGAAACCCCTGGCATATATTCCTTAGGAGTCTGTTGATGTCAAATTAAAGTCTTCTGATACAAAGAGATTTTTCAGAGACTGTCAAGTTGGAACTGAATCATGTATGAGCCTTCATCAGATTTTCAGAGGCTGTAAATCACACGAGAAGAGAATGTTCATTTTCCCACAGAACAGCTGGTGAATTCAAACTGACTGCTTTGAGTTGGCAGTGTAAGTATCTGCTAAAACAGAAGAACAGATAATTGAAGAAGGGTGACAAATTTCCTTCTGCAAGGGTGTTCTGAGAGGATCAATTATACACATAGTGATCAAATGGTATTTTCTAAGTTATAAAACAGTCAACTGTATGAAGAATTAAATGCTGAGTAGATCCCCTCATGCAGCTGGATTCAGATTCAAGAGAATGCAGTCAAACTAGCCATAGAACACTGTTTATACGTGAGGCCCTGCTGCTTGCACTGAGACTTAACTCTTCTACTCTCATGGGATATGCCACCACTCCTCTGTCAGGAAAGACTGAAGTTGTCAATGACTTCCTTTTCCTTAGACTCATGATCAAAATCTATGACGAAAACAGACCAAAACCCCCTAATGGTGTGTTAAAGAACAAAGATGCCACTTTAAGGATTACAATGTGCCTAACTAAAACCAAAGTATTTTCAATTACCACATATGCATTTGAAAGCTGAACAAAGAATAAGGAAGACCAAAGAAAAATTGATGCTATTAATATGATGTAGAAGAATATAATGAATATGCCATGGATTGTCAAAGAACACATACATCAGCCTTGGAAGAAGTACACAGAGAATGCTCCTTAGAAATGAAGATGGAGAGACTTCGCACCTACGTAGGACATGCTATCAGGAGAGGCCAGGCTCTGGAGAAGACATCATACTTGGTAAAAGCACAGGGTTAGTAATAAAGAGGAAAATCCACAATGAGACAGATTGTGAGAATGGCAAAGGAACAGGCAATGGTGTATTCCCCTTACCAAGCCAACTGTAAATTGAAACCAACCCTACGGTACTGAACCCCAATTATGGGATATGCAATCCAAGGCAATTCAATTGCCTCTGTGGGCCTCCATTTTCTACAAAATGAGAAAATCTGAGTAACAAAATCTCTTAGGTCTTTGCTATGTATATTCTTATGCTAAAGGTTTATCAAAGACTTGCTCTGGAGATCCAAGAAAATAAGCACCACACACAACAGACATTTAGGTATTAAAAGGATATGCTTCTTTTGAAAGTAAGGAAAAGTCTTAAAAACAGTGAGGATAACTGAGGGATTAATAAATAGATTAAGGTATTAATTCATTCAAAATGCACAAATCTCTTTTACTCAACAATTTAGGAAAACAAAGGGCCAATGACTTCAGAACAATCCTTTTGCTCTATTGCAGAATCTGTTCTCGGGCAATAAAGACCTAGAATTGGTTTTTGTTTATAATAGCTACATGAAAATACAATTCACCAAAATAGAAAGAAAATATCAGGGTTAGGGGGAACTATGAAAAAAGGAGATAAATAATGTGCACTACATTGAAACAGATGAAGGCAAGAACTGATTAAAAGGAATATATGATTTGCATGACAACAGTCCAGAATATGAACTGCATAGTAATGTGGACTGGGGTGGGAGTGGGGAATTACATACCAATGAAACAATTTTTTTTTCTCAAAAAGAAAAGCTGGGGGGTGGGGGAAAGTAGACAGGGAGGAAAATGTGCAACAATGAATGCATGGAAATACAAGTTCTCGAAAAACTTTCATTAAAAAAAATTAAAAATAGAAGGAAACTACTGATTCCTTTTAAATGCACAGGAGTACAGTCTTTTCATAACAGGTTGTTGTAAAGTTTATACCAGCTTCAACAAATTTCACAATTGTTCAGTGACAGGGAAAACGGATTTTTTGCTTCATAGAAACAGATTAGCCTGAAATGTGTACGGTGTTGTTAATTTTAAAAAAGTCAAAATACACTATCTGATTTTTCATCAAGAACATTCAGGTGTTTGATGGCCATACCTAGATGACTCAAAATAGTGGATGGCATTCTGCAGTGAAATATTGTTGAAAAGGTAACCTTCTTTAAAGTAAAACAAAAC